GGGGGGGGGGGGGGGGCGAGGGAGCACGTCCCCAGCGGGATCTCACTGCTGCCTCTCTCCTCTCTCCCCCCGCAGTTCTTTGCCTCCATGATCTCCACCTTCACGCTGAACTCCGTTCTCAGCATATACAAGGGCAATCCCCTGGACCTCTCCAGCCCGGGCCTCATCAACTTCGGCAGGTTCGATTCTGAGGTAGGGGCCGCCGTCGCGCCTGCCAGAGCCGCTGAATCCACCCTGGCTGCACTTTTGCCTTTCCCACCAAGGCTCCAGGCCCAGCAGGTGCCGCCTGGTCGTCCTGTTTCTTTGTTCTTTGGGGGAAGAGAAAACCAGAACGGCTTGAGCAGGGTGCAGCGCCAGGGAGTTACTGGATTGGCGCTGGAAGTCCCTTTGCGAAACAGCGCGAGCAGTGGAGCCGTAGAGCCTTTCGGAAGAAGCCGTGGTGCCTCCTGTGACCAATCGGCTGGCTGAGGGTTCGGTTGCAGCTCAGCGCCAGGCAGCTGCTGGGTCCCTGACCGCGTTACTCTTCCTGGGGTTCCTGTGCGCTCATTCTTTTCTGGTTGTTTTAGAAAATGGGATACACTTTCCAAGAAATCCCCATCTTCATCTTCATTGGGGTGTTAGGTAAGAAACCTTTTTGGCCTGAAGATCCGGCTTCTCTTTGCCTGCACTTTGCTTGGGAGCTGGGGGACTGGGCCCTTGGAGAAAAGGGCCCTGCTGGTGTTGGGGCTGCTTGTCACACGACAGCATGGGGAGTCTCACGGGAGAGTCTGCGTTTGCCATGAGCCCAAAAGGCCACCCGGCCCGCTGTTTATCAGCGGTGCTTTTTTGCAGGGCAAAACAGATCTCTGCTTTGCCAGCTCCAGACTCTCCTCTTCTGCTGTTCATAACCCAGCTCTTGTCAAGAGCCTGAATTCCTAAACCCTGCAGATATGAAGTGTGTCCTTCAGGGACCAGATCGTGGTAGAAGAGGGGACGGAGGGAAACCCGGGCCTTCAAGATTCTGCTGTCATGCCTTACAACCTAGAAGCAGAGTGCCAGTCCCCTTCCTGATCTAGCCTGCCTTTGGCTGACCTCTTTCCTCCTTCCTGCTGCAGGTGGGATCCTTGGAGCCATGTTCAATGCTCTGAACTACTGGCTGACAATGTTCCGGATCAGGTGAGACCCTGGCAGAGTTTGGCCCTTTAATCTGGGTTTGTTGGGGGCATGGGTGGGGTGCAGGAGAGCTCTGAGTTTTAAATACACCACCAGCTTCCTGCAGATTCCCTTCATGCAGAAGACAGATTCCCAATAGGAAGGACTAGACTTCTTGGTGCAGGAAAGCCGCTTCTGACTGTCTGTGAGCACAAGTACCCAAATCCGCTGCTTTTCCTTGGGGTGCCTTTCATGACACAGATCTGTGGGCAAGGGGTGGGCAAAGGGTTCTTGGTGGCTGCTGCTTGGCCAGGCAGACTCAAAGCAGGGAATCTGGACAGTCCGGCCGTTGCAACAACGGTGACCACAATGAGGCACTGCTGTTGGCCTTTCCTGCCAGATACAGCCGGGCTCAGATAGTTCAGTGGCGAGGGACCTTCTAACTCGTCCTGCTGCCGAGCGAGCTCCAGCTGTGAAGCTGTGTCTGTCCTCGTGGGGCTCTCGGGAATCCATCCAGAACGCTGGAGGAAGCTGGTAGCTTTGGCTGGAAGAGCCGTTCAGGGGCTCGTTTCCATCCCTGAGCAGCGGCTGAGCTGAAACCTGCAGTGCTGCTTTCTGTCTTGGCTCTCTTGAAATGTGGCAGCCGCCTGCCCTCCTTGGCCTCCCGCTTGCTTCCTCGACGCTCTCCTTCCCTGGGACTGGCTTGCTTTCACAGGAAGGAGCAAAACAGCTCCCCTTTCCAGCCACCCAAGGAGGCAGTCTGGAAAGGGGCACCCAATGGAGCTCCTTTCAGGACGCAGATCAAAGGACTTGTTATGTGCGGCACGCTTGCGCGCAGGCCAAGCACGGATGTCAGATGTGTTCAGCAGCTAGTAGAAAACTGGAATGGTATTGTAGGGATCTTCTCTATGGTTTTCTCCCCGGCTACTGAAAAGTTGCGTGTATCTGCAGTAAGGGATAAGAAGCTAGAATTTTGGAACTCTGATTTCCTGGGGCAGGTGGGCGAGGAGGGCTGTGTTACCCGGAGCTGCTCTTCCCCCCGTGTCCCGTGGTGGCTGCAGAGGCCTGGTCTTGTTTGTGAGTGTGCCATCCAGCCTCTGGCTCACCTGGGTTTGGCACCTTGGCTCCCCAGGTACATCCATCGCCCATGTCTGCAGGTGATTGAGTCCATGCTGGTGGGGGCCGTGACAGCAGCTATCGCGTTTGTCCTAATCTACATTTCTGCAGACTGCCAGCCTCTCCAAGACAACAGCATGGCCTACCCTCTGCAGGTGGGCGATCGCTGGGAGGGGGTTTTCCCATGGGGAGGGGTGTTGAGCGGGAAGGAGGTGTGCTCTGCTGGCGAAGGGGCCCCGTCTTTGGGCTCGACAGATGTGCAAGCAGGCAAAGAAGTCCTTGCAGACACCAGACAGGAAGCTGGGGGGGGGCAGGCGTGTGTTCCCCATTTACAAATAGCATTGCATAAATGGAAAAAACGGACTGTCTTACTTCCTTTGGAGAATAAGGCTTGAACCACTGAGTTTCAGTTACACGAAAAGCAGGGGGGTGGCTAAAGATTAGGAAGAACTGCTGTGTTGTTACCATTATTACCACTGCTATTGTTTTCCTAGGATCTTATGCTGCTGCAGTCCCTGCTGACTGGGTGGCTCCCCCCTCCCCTGGCTTGGTATAAGCGATTCGGCAGCTGCTCTGTCTGCCTGAACGCGGGGAGTCCCTCTTCCTCAGAGTCTGAAACACGGAGGGGATGTGCGGGGTGGGGTCGCTGGGCTGGCCGCAGGGCTCGATGCAGTCCCTGCAGTTTTGAGGCTCCCCTGGGATGTGGAGATTGTGCTTTTCCCTGCTTTCCAGTGACGCGGCTTCTCCTCTTCCTCCCCGCCTTCCTTTTCACCAGCTCTTCTGCCCCGATGGGCAGTATAACTCCATGGCCGCTGCCTTCTTCAACACCCCCGAGAAGAGCGTTGTCCGCCTCTTCCATGACCCTCCAGGTCAGCCGCCTCTGTTGCAAGAGCAGTGTGGATACGGCTGAGTCTTAGTTTACCCTAAGCATGGTATCAGGAGCACACTCTACTGGCCGGATTTATACTTGGTGCTGAGTAAGCCTTGGACCACAGTTGAGCAGCCACGGGGGGTACCGAGCAGACCCGGGCAACTCGATGCAGCCTTCCGCGTCTTCCCCGACTGACCTGCCGCCAGGGTTGCGCTCCCTGCCCCTTCGCAAGCTCCCCAACCCCCTGCTCAGGCTCCGAGGCCTCTGCTGCGGCCTCTTGCGCCAGGCAGGCTTTCCGTGCGTCTCCCTAGAAAGGTCTCTTCGGCTGCATGAGAAGCGGCAGCTTCTGTCACTTCTCTGCTCTCGCAGCGAGCAGGCTGCTGCCGCCGCCCCCCCCC